TTCCTGTCGTTCACCACGTGCTTTCAGAATTGCTATTCGCCGTTTTCGATAGGACTGCAAAAATTTAACGGGTAACCAGCACAGCAAAATGGCCTCATAAATCAAAATTTTTGAGAAATTTTTAGGCCAAAAAATTATATTTTTCAGCTGTGAAGACAAACGGAGTAATTAGAAACAAATCTTTCAGCTTTTTAGACAGAAAGAATGAACATGAAAAAGTTTTTAAACCAGCAAAAAACTGACTTTCTGATTAAAAAAGACAAACTTTGCTTAACAAAACAAAATTCGCCAAATCCTGTGGAAAGATCCACTTGAATTATGTAGATGAGAGACAGCGAAAAATAAAAAATGGAGAAGTTGCTAACTGCATCAATGGCGAGAAGAAACACAATGATGAAACAAGAACTAATCAAAGTAAGATGTATTGAACGGTGAGGAAAAAAGAGAGTTGGGAATACAATCTCTTTCAGTGAATATATTTCGAAGAAGAGAACCTAGTACTACAACCATTTCGAAAACCACGTTACCACGTCACGTTACATAATACTTTTCCACACTCACTTATTTTCTTTTCATCTTCCATTTGTCTTCTACTTTTTCTTCAACTTCTCCTTCTACTTTTACTACAATTTTTCTTCCACTTTCCTTTCTACTTTTTACTTTTGTAAACACATTAACTAACTTATTTAGTCTCCTATCTTATTTAATTACCTTTCAAAATTCTTTTGCCACAATCGTCGTACTGACGAGGTTCACTTGTGATAAAGGTAAGAAATGTATGCGACTTAATGGACCGAAACATTTCTTACCTACTTTAATAATTCATTACAACCCTTTCATCGCTTTTTGCTCATATTTTCTTTTTAGCCTTAAATAATAAATCCTCCAAAATTAACGATTTATTTCACGTTACCGGAAAACAGTACCTAATGTCGCCTCCCGTCTTTCACCCTCTTCCCCTTCTTGTCATGCTAATCCATTATAGAAACAATATTTCTAATGATAAAATGAATTTAACAATACTTCTACTGCAGCTGCCCCATTGACGAAGTCCAGTTGGAGCATTAAATGGGAACATGTATGTGACTTAATGGACCAAAACTTCATTCTTTTATTTTCGTTTTTATTTAATTCAGATTTTATTTTTTTATTTTTACTTTTATTACTTTTTAGCTACAACCTTTTTCACAATCAAATTATTTAATTAAAGGATAAAGAGAAAATGATGAAGTAGAAAAAATGAAGAAGGGAAGAAAAACGAAGTAAAAAAAAAGAAATGGAAAACGGAAATGGAAGTATGGAAATATTTGTAATAGATAAGAAATGTTTCGGTCCATTAAGTCGTATACATTTCTTACCGTTACCACAATTGGACCTCGTCAGTAAGACGACTGTAGGAACCAAATAATTTAGATGGTTTAGTTTAAATTTAAATCACATACCATGTTTGTTGGATCTGATTCAATTAGCTGCTCATAGAGATGCGTGGCACTATCATATCTGCAAAATGGATAATAATTATCAACTGAAGAAACTGCGTTCCGCAGAAAATCTACGGCATTGTGGGACAAGGTTTCACTCCATAAAACATACTCAGTGTTACACCTGCACACACAAAAGAATGCGAAATCCAATGCCAAAAACACCTGATATTCTTAATTTTTGAGAAAAATAGTAATCCACCAGTGATATGGCGCTAGATGGCAAGACGTGCCTGTATACGGGCCCAGAATTTGTGTGTATGTTTGTCTGTGTGTGTGTGTGTGTGTGTACGTGTGTATGGCCGAGGGGGAATCGTGACGCGCAGTTGGGTCGGCGTTGTCGAAATCTGAAACTGGAGCTGAATTGATATATACCGAGCTAAGGCTCGCTTATATAACAAAACAGTAGCCACACCTCCCCGATCATAGGTGCTGATCCGCCGGGGTAATAAACAAGGCCCAGATAAAGCGGGGTATCACAAACAAGGAAGTCTGGCGTCATCACAAAGGTGCTGCTTCTCGGAACATCTGGGGGGCCATGTGAGTTTCCGATCAGCTCGTAGCATCAACAGCCCCGTTAATCAGCGATATCCAAAACCGGATTTTTATGATATTTTGAATATTTCCATTCACAGTCGAGGGGCTATCTCGTTCCTTACATACTAAGCTTCTCAAAAAAGGGGTAGTACTCAGGAAAATATCTCGTAACCTGGAGAAGGCTACCCATCCAGCTCTTTTTGAATCTCTCATTTCTTGTGACAGAAGT